CTCGAGTCTCTAGTTAAAAGGAGGAATGAGAAATTGGCTCCTAGATTCTATGGTCCTTTCCAGGTGGTGGCTAAGGTTGGTACAGTGGCTTATAAGTTGCAGTTACCAGAGGGCAGCAGAATTCATCCGGTATTCTATTAACTCACGTTGAACCCAAAACAACCAAACAAGCCTTATCTAATCCTACCTGGACTGCTGCCATGCAGACTGAATATAATGCCCTCCTTCACAATGGTACCTGGTCTCTTGTTCCTCTCCCACCGCATCGAACTGCCATAGGTTGTAAGTGGGTCTTCCGTGTCAAAGAAAATCCTAATGGCACTGTTCAAAAGTACAAAGCCTGTCTTGTTGCCAAAGGGTTTAATCAACAGTTTGGCTTCGACTATCATGAAACCTTCTCACCTGTTATCAAACCTGTCACTGTTCGGCTCATTCTCACTCTTGCCTTAACCCATCATTGGCCTATTCAACAACTAGATGTTAATAATGCATTTCTCAATGGAACTCTTGAAGAGGAAGTGTATATGACCCAACCCCCAGGATTTGAAGCTTCTGATAAATGTCTCGTCTGTAAACTTCACAAAGCCATCTATGGGCTCAAACAAGCACCCCGTGCTTGGTTTGAAAAGCTTAAATCAACTTTACTGCAGTTTCACTTCCAAGCAAGTAAATGTGACCCGTCTTTATTCGTATACTCCCATGCCAACAATGTCATCTACATCTTGGTGTATGTTGATGACATTATCATCACTGGCAATAATTTCGCTATCCTTCATACACTTGTCTCTCAACTCCATTCCGTCTTTTCTCTCAAAGATCTAGGTGACCTTGATTATTTCCTTGGCATTGAAGTCAAAACTCAGTCTGATGGTTCCCTCATCCTCACTCAAAGTAAATACATCAGAGACCTCTTAAACCGCACTGATATGGAAGCGTCGAAACCTATTTCTTCTCCAATGATTCCTAGCAGCAAACTATCAAAAGCAGGTTCTGAAGATTTCATGGATGCGTCTCTCTATCGTTCAGTTGTTGGTGCATTGCAATATGCCACCATCACAAGACCCGAAATTAGCTTCTCTGTAAATAAAGTTTGTCAATTCATGTCTCATCCTCTTGCACATCATTGGTCTGCTGTTAAACGTATTCTTCGGTATCTGAAGGGCACTACCTCTTGGGGTCTTCATCTGCAACCAGCTTCTTCCTCCTCCTCTTTTTCCATTCATGCCTAACGGATAGGGACATATGCTTGATAGCCTTTGCCAAAATACTAATCTAGCTCTCTAACTTGTTAGTATATGGTCAATGATAATTATGATATCTTATTGTTAGCAACTTTGAGTTTGCCATTGATTTGTTAATTTACTTCCTCGATTGGTTTAATTTTTATTCCACCAGTGCATCTCAAATGACAGTTCTTGTGAGGTTCTTAAGTGTACTAATTGGTTCTTACTCAAGATTACCATTGGAGGAGGCTGACATGGCTTTTTGTTGTAATAACTAATTCTTATATAAGCAACTGATTTTTATGATTAAGAAAACATTTTGTGAGATAATATATGAGACCTATTTAAGTTCTTAGAGCTATTTAATAATCCTTTTGGCCAATAGAATTGGTAGGTGAATCCAAGAGTGAGATTCCCTATCAAACAATGGAATTGACTGGAGATCCAAGAGTCTATTAGGGAGTTGAACATTGGGGAAACTTCACTAATAGGTAGTGAGTAAACCATACAAGTGAGTTTGACACCTCATTATAATCCAAAACCTTAATACATTAGGTAGGTAGTCTTTCTCACTTATATACTACTCAACATGCCCAACTCTAACCAATGTGAGACTATTTACACTTGAACTTTCCAACACTCTTCCTCAAGTGTGAGTCTCTTTCACATGGTATGACTCTCTTTCAAGTGAAAGTCTTTTTTGCCCATGAGTATTCAATGGTGGCCTACTTGGACCGTCGTTGCCCTTCAACGGGACCACACCTCTAGGGAGATTATTGATACAAGGGATGATCCCACTTTTGGATTCTACATCAATTCACTTTGTGTTGATAACCAATTCTATTGCTTAATACTTGTCAAAGCTGGTCACATAGTCAAATCAGACTCTGGTACCACTATTAGGTACCAGGGGTTCACACACACGTTTCAACATTGGTATGATATTATCTACTTTGAGTCTAAATTCTTACGGTTTTACTTTTGTTCATCTCGCAAAAAGCCTAATATCAATGGAGACTATGTATGTTTTATAAACCTTTATATCTCTTTATGATCCAACAATACAAGACTTTGTTTGTACCCCAACATTGTTAAAGTTCTTAAATCTGATGTGGCATGGTAGGTTCACTAAGATTGAGTTAAAAACCTTTACTTTAAGTGCACTATGGGAGATGCTCTTATGGATAAGAGATAGTGGCACACAAGTTCTGCCTAGTACTATGTTTTAGTGTGGTGTCATAGTGGTTCCATCCAACTTGACCTGATTCGATTTCCATTTCCATTGCTGAGTTTCAAAGGATTGGAACACCTATTGTTTTCTTCTCCAGTGGTCTTTGTATTGTAACTCCATTTTCGGATTTTCTCTCAATTTGGCTATTGAAATCTATGTTTACCCTCCTAATTATGTATTGTTTTCTTCTCCAAAGGTTTCTGTACTGTGAATCCTTCCTTGCTATTGGATGTGCACCAAATTTGGCTGCTGCAATCCTTGTTTTCCCTCCTATTTGTTTTTCCACACACTTTCACTAGCTGCACTGGTGACACTACTCCCCTTTTGGTATTGGTTTCCATCCAATTGCTCATAGTCCAAACATAAGGGATTTAATGTCCATTTAGGCCTTTAGTTTATTGTTTCTGAGATATTTTGTTTGTTATTTTATCACATCATCTAGTTTTTTTTGGTTATTTTGATATATATTGCTTCAGCATGTATATTTTGTAAAATTTGCTCAACTGAGATTGCTGATGTTTTGGTTGGGAAATTTGGGTATTTTCTACAAAACTCCTTTAATTAGTTTATTAATTATGGTTCTGAACACTCTTTTCATGTGTTGCCTTTTGAAATCTTGGAAGAGAAGACCAAACATGTTTGCCTAATTGCATGAATCTAACATTTGTAATTTGTCTAAACTAGGGACAATTTTCTTCAACTTTGGCAAGTGTGTGACCTAAGTGATCATGAAGGAGCTTTAGAGATGAATCTACAACATAGGATGTAGAAGGACTTGTTTGAAGGTAGTAGAGACCTCTAGATTCATGTCCTACGCCAATTAGTAGTAGAGACCTCTAGATTCATGTCCTATGCCAATTAGTCAGCCTATACCACATTTTTGCATACTAAAAGAATCAACATCAAATGTTATAGAACAATTTTATTGATTCGGTAATTGACTTAGTAAAAGTAGATTAAAAGGACATTTAAGAATTATAGGACAAACTTCAAGTCCAAGGAAGGAGAATGGGAGACTTGACCAAGTCTTTTGGAAGCAACCTTAGTTCCATTTGCTAAGGTAATTAGATGAATTTGGGTGAAGACATACAGGTGAAAAGAAAACCATTACTTGAAATGTGTTTTGAGGTACCCAAGTCAATTGGTGATGGACCTTGACTATCCAAGGATTGAGAAGTTTAGGTTGTTGAAAGTTGAAACACTAAGGAGGGGGCATTTGGTACGTGAAATGTTTTTTTATTTTCATGGGAATCTTAAATCAAGAATCTTGGTTTCCATTGTTTGGTAACTATTTAAAAAAAAAAATTCTCAAGAATATAGTTTTCCAATAACCATTTTTATTCTACTTTCCTACAAAAACATTCCCATGAAGGGGGTAGGAATCCAAGTTTTTTGGAGTTTGGGAGAAAGTTTTATGTTTATAAAAAGATCATAGTATCCCTTTTTAAAACAAAAAATCTTCCTCTTTGTCACTCTCACTGTCACTCCCCCTCTCTTCCTCTCCCCCTCCCTCTCTCTCACCTTTTATTTCTCTTTCTGCCTCTATCTCTCTTTATGTCACTCTTAGTCTCACCCTCTCCCTCTCTTTTGCTCCCTCCCATATTCTTATTTCTCCTCCTCTTGTATCTCATTATTTCTTGATTTTGTCAATTTTAATAATATTATTAAAGTCGATTTTGTTTCTATAGGTTAATAGTATTTGTGAACACTTTTTACTTATTTATTTTTTATTTGAATGAAATGAAATAATATATTTTTATCCTTTTTTATTATGTAGCATTTTTCTTTGCTTATTTCTTTTGTTGAATTCTGTATTTAAATAATTTTAATTAAAAATTTTCAACTTTTTAAAATAGTTTAATGTTATATTTGTAATAAGATTTGAGTAAATAAATATATATAATGAGATTATTTTAATAACTAATATTTTTGTAAAAAATATTGTATAATTAGGAATATACTATTGTAACAAAACATGAAAGTCTTTAATTCTCGGGAACTTTGTATGAATATTTTCAGGAGCCTTTATAAGTAATCAAACAAATTTTAGCGATTATCAGAGATCATGATTCCCAAGATTTGTAATTCCTAAGAATCATGATTTTTGAGTATGAAAAAACTTTTCTCCTATCAAATGCCCCCTAAGGTAAAAGTGCTCAATTGTTTTTTCACACTCAGCAGATCTGTGTGTGTGTGTATATATATATATATATATATATATCAAGCTGATCTGAGCAAGATTTACACACAGTGACACAAGAAAAAAGAGTCAACAGTCTAGTACACCTACATAAGGTAAATAGATACAACAAAAAGCAGCTTTTCTTACAGTCAACAATGTTGGTAGTCTAGAAACTGCCTTAATATATATGATCTGAACTTCATAGAGGGTATCTATACTATTGTAAACTAATAAAGCATGTCCACAGACAAAAACTTCCTTGTGTTTGCCATATGATTGCAAAATAAATAGCACTTTCCTCCATAATTTGTTTTATTGTTGTCACTGTCTTTAGTCAGTTAAATATTTGGTTGATTATCATATATGGCTTTATGCAGACTGGTTCTGATGGCTCAAAAAATGAAATTGTGGGTGCCACCACTGCAACGTATGTGCCCTCAATTGATGACATTGGCTCCTTTATTTCTGTTTCATGTGAACCTATCCGAAGTGATTGGGCTCGTGGACCCATGGTTCTGTCTGAACAAATTGGACCTATAATACCTGGTACTAAGCATTTCTTACTTTCTTGGGGAGCTCTTGAGTCTTTATATTGTTCATAAAGACATACAGGTTTTATTAGACAATTTTTTTTATGGGCTAGACAATTTTAATGATACAACTATTTTTACTTTGCAAATTTAGGTCCCCCAACTTGTCGTTTGCTGGAATTTGTTGGATCAATGATAGAAGGGCAGCGCTTGAACTTTAATGCTGTCTATAGTGGGGGGTCAGGCTTCTGTTATCCATTGCTTATAACTTCATGTCTCTCCACTTTTAGTCCTTTTGATTTTATCCACTTAGTTACTTACCCTTACAAGGAATTTTGTTGCTTGCTTTTCAGAGAGCAAGGAGATTGTACCCATGAGTAGTTTAGGGTAAAGGACAATGGTGTACGAGAGAAATTAAGTAGCAATGGTGACTTTTGTTTGTTGTTTTATCAGCCAAGTGTTATTTATTTGTGATGGCAATAGTAAATGCTTAATTTTTATGACTAGCAGACTTTTTGGATTTGACTCTTGAGGATGTTGGTACGTGCATTGAAATAATCTATACTCCTGTACGCAAAGATGGAATCAGAGGCAACCCAATGAGCATAGTGTCTGATCTGATTTCTCCTTGTAAGATTGTTTTGCTTGTGAACTTGGAGTTGGACAGATTATGATTTTAGTAGCTACTTTGTTAACATTAAATAACATGGCCCTAGTTTTATAAGTGGAATTTAAGATACAACCAGTGTTATCAATGCCATGTAATTACTTTTACCAAATATTAACCTGCTTCATCTAGTTAATAGCTAATTCATTTGAGAAATGCTTTTATATTAATTTCACTGAAATTGATCATTTATCAATTATATTAAGCATTTTTGAATAAGTTATGCTTTGTTTGTTTTAAATTCTCCAGTCCAGCAAATGTTTGTTTGATTGATGGATGATTTTTGGCAAAAGTACCTTGGGCAATGTAATTGTTCTGTTTATGTTGGGAATGATCCCAAGCACACATGTGGTTTGTGAGTGTTGTTGAACTCCCTAGAGTCTTATATTGATAATATTGGTTTAGTGCATTGATAGTACTAATTGTACTAACTACTATAGCATACTTTTGGAGAGCCTTGTTTGGAGATTGTTCACCAACAATGTTAGCGAATTCTGAATTGGGTTATCATCTTCTCTTGGTTAATAAATTCCTTTTATTCATTGTTGTTTGTGTTGAGATCTATGTAAGTATTGGTTAAATGTTCTTTCTATGTACTCCATTGTAAGTATTGTGTTTTCTACTATTTAATTGGCACAATGGATTTTAAGCTTTGATACCATTTTAGAATTTGGGGGCTTAGGATGTAACTCAATCCTACAAAACTAGTTTGTATGGTGAGAGTTGTCCAAGTTTTATAAGCTTTATTTAAACCATATCTTTAGTTGATGTTGGACTAAACAGTGCCCTTGAGACTACAATTAAGGCAGCCCTCAAAGAGGCTGCAACTATGGCAGGCTAGGGGTTATCACAAATGAGGTGACTTTCCAACAAACATGTTTACTTGATTTTGTTTGTTAATAACGTTTTTATAGATGCCAATTGCCTTGGCATATATAAACTAAAACATCTTTGTCATCAATTTTAGACAAGAGACTTTTGGTCTTAGAATGTGGGTTTATACCTACTTGAGTAAAAGAGATTTAAGTTTAGGGAGAAAAGTCAGTGTATCACCACTGATCCGAATATTTAAGAAGCTTTCTTGATAAGCTATTCTATCAACCCCCTTCAAGCTAGAGCATACAAATTGTATTTGTGAAGCTTGGAACATAAAAAATCCTCAACAGCTTAGTCATAACATCTGCAAGCTGTTCATTGGAGTTGGCAAATTTAGTAATAATTTCCTGGGACAACTTCTCTATCAAAATGACAGTGAACCTCTATATGTTTAGTTCTCTCATAAACGTGTAGGGAAACCTGATTATCACAATACAATTTCGTTGGATTAACTTCACAGAATTTTATCTCTTTGAAAAAGTTTTTAATCTGTACAAGTTCACAAGTAACCAAGGACATAGTTCAATATTCAGCTTAAGCATTGGATCAAGTAATAACATTTTGTTTCTTGCTCCTCCAAGAAATATAAAATGTCCAGTAGTAGAATGTCAATCTATAGGATATCCTACCTGATCAACATCACAGTATCCCAAAATTTTTGGTTGTATCTTTGTCTTATACAACAATCCTTGTCATGGAGCCTTTTTAATATAACTGTTGTGCAGCAGTTTTGATCAGATAGGGGGCTAAAATAGTGACCAAGTGTGTTGGTTATTCTTTTCTTTTTTTGTTTGGTAATGTTTTGCAGAGGACAAAAAGTTGTCCTCTAGTTTCCTGAGTAACAAAGTTTGAGTTTTGTCTTATACTATGTCCTTTCCTTTATGCTGTCCTATTACCATATCTAAAATCAAACATATAGCAATTGTCTCTGTGCCCCAGCCCTTTACTTTCTAGCCCACACCCCATAAATATAGTATTTTCTTCTTTGAACTAACACGGTTTCTCATATTGCCTCTTGGTTCTCTCTCTTTTAACAGTTTGTTTGAGGTATAATTTTGATTTTTTGAATTCTATAATGCTTTATGAAATAGTTGTGCATTTCTAATATAATTTATTTATCATCTACTGCATGCAGCGGATCCTAAGGGAATGGATCTTGTAATTCCTGACTGCTGTGAAGACACAGAACTTATACCACTGAGAAAATATTTTGGTGGACATGAAGGGGTTGGAGAGTATATTTGGTATCGGACAAATCATAAACTTGAAGGATCTGAACTACTAGATATATCTAATGCTTCTGATGTTGTAATATGTGGGACAGAGCCGTAAGTACTGATTTGTTGTTCACATGTATTTTATGAGAAAATGTATCTGTAGTTGATGATTTTGTTATTATTTTCCTTGTCATGGCAGAACATATAAACCATTACTTAAAGATGTTGGAGCTTACTTGGCTTTGTATTGGGTGCCTACTCGTGCAGATGGCAAATGTGGGGAGCCATTGATTGCAATTTGCAGTACCCCAGTTTCCCCTGGTATCTCTGCAGTTCTTTGCAAGAAGTTCATTCTTCACTGTCTGTTGATACTTGATAGCTTTCCATCTCATGGTTTGAAATTTTTGTTGTGGGTGATGTGTACAGCTCAGCACCTATACATATGATGTAGGGTGTGCCCACTGTAATTTGTGATCATTTGCACATGTGATAAGCTTTATTATGTTTTAAATTTTCATTTCTATTAGCCATTTTGTTTCCCTTATTGACAATTAATGTGTGGTATTTAGCACATTTTATTTTCTCACTCCTTTAATAATTTGCAGCTCCTCCAGTAGTTTCTAATGTACATGTGAAAGAGTTGTCCTCGGGAATTTATTCTGGAGAAGGTGAATATTTTGGTGGACATGAAGGAGAAAGTCTCTTTAGCTGGTATAGAAAAAATAACGAGGGGACCATAGAATTGATTAATGGGGCAAATTCTAAAATCTACGAAGTTACTGATTCAGATTACAATTATCGTTTGTTGTTTGGGTAATTATTCTATATTATCTTTTGGCTTTTTATTTTTGACCATGAAGATAGTGTATTGAATGCCATGCTAATCATATTAGTTTTTCTAAACTTAAACTTGAAAGTTTGAGAGAAGAAATGGTTTTTCATCATTCATTCCTTGTTGCTTTAGATGATTGATTGTTGAAGGAAGCAGTTTTTAGGAGTTCCCTAACTTGTTACTCTTAATTTAGTTAGGGTTAATAGTCTCATTCTATCACAGGGTTGGGCCTGTGCGAGTATTGTTACAGTGGTGTTTGAACTAATTACTAGTGTAAAGAGGATGATTGTATTGTATCACATCATTATTTATAATATTCATTAAATATCTTATTATTGGGACGTTCCTTTGTCTCTTTTACTCCTTCCCCACCCTAACCCTATAATTTCAACAGGGAAAACAATTAAGTTATAGTTGTATTTCATTCTATATATTAACATTTTCATCCTTTCCGCCAAATATACACCTGTTCGTTCAGATTCAGTTGTCGGAGAACCCATATTATCTGTTCCAACTAACATTATTTTTCCAGGTAACCATCTCCCATTTTTGTGTAAGCCTGTTACATTGCATTTATTTTTAAATAGTGAAGCACCTTTGTCCTGCAAGATTTTAAAGTTGTTCTTTCCTTCATTGTCCACTAGAGCTTCCATATGTGGAGATGCTTGCTCTGACCGGAAAGGCAGTTGAAGGTGACGTACTTACAGCTGTTGAAGTGATTCCAAATAGTGAGACTCAACATGTTTGGAGCAAGTACAAGAAAGATATAAGATACCAATGGTATGGTGATATTCATTACATTGATGCAACATACTTCTACTTTTTCAATGAACAAATTTAATTTTTATTTCCCAAGATTCCTTTACCATAATTAATCTCAGATGGCAGTATAGAGCATAGAAAACCTTACTGTAACTAGATAGCAAATCTTGGGAGTGGCTTATATCAAACATTTGAAAATACTTTTTTAAAAAGTATTAAAAACCCACAAAATTAATTATCTGAATAGGTATGCAATATTTTACCATAAGCAAATGAATAATAAATTTTTTGAATGCTCATAATCAAAAGAAAAAAAATCATTTGTATTAGTTAACATGTAGTAAGAAACTTTAAGTACTTTCGAAGAGCTAGTTTAAAAGCATTGCCAAATAAGTAGGTAAAAGAAATTATCACTATGGGCAGTGATGTCTTTCCATTTTTGAATTAGTTATCCACTTAGATACTAACAGGTTTTGTTAATATAGTGTAGATATATGTAGGAAAATATTCTCTTAGGAAAGTATTCTCTTATTGAATAATCCACAATAATAGTGGGGTACTACTTAAACATAAAAGGCTGATTCCTTAATCTTAGGAAGCAAGAATCCCATGAATCATTCAAGGAAAGATTACAAAAAGGAAAAAATCTCATGAATTCGGGATTAACTAATTCTATCTTTAATCCTAGGATTTTATCTTCCTAATTTATTCTGAATCATTAAATCCTAACATTCCTAATTTTTTCGCAAATAGATTTTATTTTGGGTCACAATGTTATAGGTGTGAAATGTCTACCAATTTTATCGATGATTAATCTTTGTTAGAGAAATTGGTTAGCTACCTTTAGTGGGGTCTCTCAATCTAATCATATTTTTTTTCATTCACAAGTCTTGGACCTAAGACTTTGCTTAATCGATCCAAGCCCAAATAATTTAATTTGGATATCATGAGATTGTGAGTGCTGTATTTATCTAAATTATACTTATGGGTATCCTCTAAACTCTATGAGAGACATTGTTTAAAACTGGAACATCCATAACATGGTGGGGTTAGCTCTTTGAACATGTTACATATACAAGATTCAAATTCAAGACTTTGCTCAAGAGGAATAAAAACACTTATCGCACATGAAAATTAATAGATAACATGAAAGTTAATTTTTATTACTGCTTCTGTACGGTGCATGTGTCTAAAATTCATTTCATTTTCTTGTAATTTAGAAGAGTGTGGGGCATCAAGGATCATACTATTGACCATGTCAGTAAAGTCTGTCCCATGTCAATGACTAATTCTCCTGAATGCTGAAGCTGATGGGTGATTGCCTTTGTATCTAACAATGTAACAATTATTAGGGTGGTTCTTTTTTATGACCATGAGAATGCTAGTTGCTAACTAAACAATGTTTCTAATAAGTTCTGATTATATGCATCACATTAACATCATTTCAGGTTTTCTTCATCAGAAGATGGGACAATTTTTCTTATGATCCAATACCTAATCAGAGTTCTTGCTCCTATAATGTGTGGCTAGAGGATATTGGTCATCATTTGAAATGTGAGTGTATCGTAACTGATGTGTTTCGAAGGTCAGGTGAGGCAGTATGCATTGAGAAAACACCTGTATTACCATGTAACTACTTTGATCACTTGAGCATTCTTTGTTTACAATTTTATTCCTCTTTGCATTTTCAGCCAGAAAGAATATGGCTTTATTCTGCGTGTTTAGTTAGGTGTTCTTGGTATGTCTACAACAACTAAGAGGCAGCTAGGCAGAGAGAAGTATATAGGGGATGAAAGCCCTATATATTTTTATGCCTTACCCTGATGTCAAAAAATTGAGACGGTGGTTATTAGATACATTTTGTATTGATCATGAGAACATATAGGGGATGAAAACCCTATATATTTGCTTCTGTCCCTCATCTCGGTTAAAATTGATTGTGTTGGTATGATGATTATTTTAGTAGACAAATGATGGAAGAGGAGCTATACGCTCTTTTTATGCCTTACCTTGATATCAAAAAATTGAGACAGTGGTTATTACATACATTTTGTATTGATCATGAGAATATATAGGGCATGAAAGCCCTATATATTTGCTTCTGTCCTTCATCTCGGTTAAAATTGATTGTTTTGGTATGATAATTATTTGTTGACAAATGATGGAATAGGAGGTATACGATCTTTTTATGCCTTACCCTGATGTCGAAAAATTGAGACGGTGGTTATTAGATACATTTTGTATTGATTATGAGAACGTAGGAATGAAAGCCCTATATTTGCTTTTGTCTCTCATCTCGGTTAAAATTGATTTTGTTGGTATGATGATTATTTTAGTCGACAAATGATGAAAGAGGAGGTATACGATCTTTTTATGCCTTACCTTGATGTCGAAAAATTGAGACGGTGGTTATTAGATACATTTTGTATTGATCATGAAAACATATAGGGCACAAAAGTCCTATATAATTGCTTCTGTCCCTCATCTCGGTTAAAATTGATTGTGTTCGTATGATGATTATTTTAGTCGACAAATGATGGAAGAGGAGGTATACGATCTTTTTATTCCTTATCCTGATGTCAAAAAAATGAGATGGTGGTAATTAGATACATTTTGTATTGATCATGAGAACATATAGGGCATGAAAGCCCTATATACTTGCTTCTGTCCCTCATCTCGGTTAAAATTGATTGTGTTGGTATGATGATTATTTTAGTCGACAAATGATGGAAGAGGAAGTATACGATCTTTTTATGTCTTACCCTGATGTCGATAAATTGAGACAGTTGTTATTAGATGCATTTTGTATTCATCATGAGAACATATAGGGCATGAAAGCCCTATATATTTGTTTCTGTCCTTCATCTCGGTTAAAATTGAATGTGTTGGTACGATGATTATTTTAGTAGACAAATGATGGAAGAGGAGGTATACGATCTTTTTATGCCTTACCCTGATGTCGAAAAATTGAGACGGTGGTTATTAGATGCATTTTGTGTTGATCATGAAAACATATAGGGCATGAAAGCCCTATATATTTGCTCTTGTCCTTCATCTCGGTTAAAATTGATTGTGTTGGTATGATGATTATTTTAGTAGACAAATGATGGAATAGGAGGTATACGATCTTTTTATGCCTTACCCTGATGTCGAAAAATTGAGACGGTGGTTATTAGATACATTTTGTATTGATCTTGAGAACATATAGGAGATGAAAGCCCTATATATTTGCTTCTGTCCCTCATCTCGGTTAAAATTGATTGTGTTGGTATGATGATTATTTTAGTAGACAAATGATGAAAGAGGAGGTATACGATCTTTTTATGCCTTACTCTGATGTAGCAAAATTGAGACGGTGGTTATTAGGTACATTTTGTATTGATCATGAAAACATATAGGGCACGAAAGTCCTATATAGTTGCTTCTATCCCTCATTTCGGTTAAAATTGATGGTGTTGGTATGATGATTATTTTAGTCGACAAATGATGAAAGAGGAGGTATACGATCTTTTTATACTTTATCCTGATGTCGAAATATTGAGACGATGGTTATTAGATACATTTTGTATTGATCATGAGAACATATAGGGCATGAAAGCCCTATATATTTGCTTCTGTCCCTCATCTTGGTTAAAATTGATTGTGTTGGTATGATGATTATTTTAGTCGACAAATGATGGAACAGAAAGTATACGATCTTTTTATGCCTTATCCTTATGTCAATAAATTGAGACTGTTGCTATTAAATGCATTTTGTGTTGATCATGAGAACATATAGGGATTGAAAGCTCTATGTATTTGTTTTTGTCTCTCATCTCGGTTAAAATTAATTGTGTAGGTATGATGATTATTTTAGTCGACAAATGATGGAAGAGGAGGTATACGATCTTTTTATGCCTTACCCTGATGTCGAAAAATTGAGACGGTGGTTATTAGATGCATTTTGTATTAATCATGAGAACATATATGACATGAAAACCCTATATATTTGCTTCTGTCCCTCATCTCGGTTAAAATTAATTGTGTAGGTATGATGATTATTTTAGTAGACAAATGATGGTAGAGGAGGTATACGATCTTTTTATGCCTTACCCTGATGTCGAAAAATTGAGACGGTGGTTATTAGATGCATTTTGTATTAATCATGAGAACATATATGACATGAAAACCCTATATATTTGCTTCTGTCCCTCATCTCGGTTAAAATTAATTGTGTAGGTATG